CCAGGAGTGGATAGGGCCAAAACCTTGTCCCGGGTGATAGTTTGACTCCCGAACGTGGATATCTTTGGAACGAAATTCGATGGCGAAGGTCATTTTCAGCGCCGGTTCCTGTACCACACGTGACAAGTGTCATTTTGCCAAGCAAAGAATATTTGTGTCCAGGGAGTCCAACTAACCCTTGGCACAAATTTTGGCACCAGCGCCAGCCGGTGCTTATCCCAGTTTTTTTATATTCGGAAAAGTTTTCCCTCTCCCTGCAAGGAAGTAATCCTTCTTTGCGAGAGCATTGAGTCAGATATGTTGACGCTTAATAAATGAGTGTTCTGTTTTGCGGACTAGATGACTCAGCGATTGCTGCAGTTCCTTTGCATCAGCAAATCGTAGCAAATTATTCGAATCCTCTTACACATTGCGAGTTCCTCTTAGTCACATCCAGCGGGATTCGCTGCTTAGATTAGAGATCAGTGAGTGGGGCCCGGCTAATTTTAATTCTATGAATTTAGGGCGCAGTTCGGCTTGGGGAGGGCATTAGCTGGGTCTACGGAAGCCCCTAAAAGCTATGGGTGAGCAGGAGCCTCAAATTTGGCGAAAGTGCAAAATGCCCTTCCCAAGCCAAATAGCGCAGAACTTCTGTCACCTGCTATATGACTTCATTTGCCCATAAAGCGAACCCACGAGGTGATAATGAGGTGGTGATGAGCAGTGATAATGAGGTGCAGTGAACGATGCGCAGAAAATCTTGGATAAGAAAGGAAAAGGCGGTAGAGATAGTTTTTTGGACGCAGTGTAGCTTGGTGAGGGCACCATATGGTACCCAGCCGATGGTAAGCGTGTACAGGCCGCCTCGAGAACACCCGCAAATTCCATCGACCAGAGTGGCCCACTTGCAGCTTTGCAGGAATGTACAGAACTTACCAAGGGTTAGACCTTTTACTTAACATTAGCATCCATGGGAACTAGCGAAAGTGCAAACAGGGTACAGCATCGTTGTGTGAATAACATAGGGGGGTCGTACTTGGCCGCAGGGGAACGGGTCATATGTGCCTTTGAGAGAAATTTGCGACGAAAAAAATTAATCCCGTTGTTGACCTTTTGCGGTTTTTCCCGTT